GTGAACTAATCTGTTCAAGGTCACATAAAACTTAATTCCAGTGCCGTGGTGTTTCAAGTCATATAATAATCAATATATAATTTGTTGTAATTTGTTGTTTTAACTGTCAAAGTCTTGTCAAAACATATATTTGGTTATAAATATAAAATGGAATGCCCCATTGGTCGCACTGCAAGCATACCAATGGTAGTATCGTCTTTGTCAATCACGCTAACATTTTAGAATAAGTAGGAGGAGCGCAGGCAGATGATTAGATCGGGCTTTAAGAACCTACGTCTGCGGTAAGAATTAACGTTTTTAATGTAAAAATGATAGCGCGCGTGTCGATTCTAACTTCATCAAGCGATGAATCACTCCCAAACATTCGTGGCGTTTACTCTAGTTCAATTTTTTCAAAGCCCAAAAAATCAAAACGCGTTTCTATGGTAATATAATTTCGTTTTCGTTCTTCGATAAATTGTTATTGATAGAATCTTAATTAAAGTCATATTGGTTGCTGTTTTAAAATGCTAAAGAAGCGCAAAATTTAGTTAGATCAATGCTACGGAAAGGGTGATACTAGTTTTCGGAAAATGTGATACTTTAACAACAGCACAAAATATGAGGTTAATCAAAATTAATAATAAATAACCATCTATAAAAGAATGAAATCGAAATTGTATTAACATAGAAACGCCTTTAGATTTTTAGGACTTTATTTTCTAGACTATCTAGACTTTCTTTTCTTTCTATTTTTAGGACTTTATTTTAGGACTTTAATCTATTTGGTAATATTATTCTCAGATTTGAACTATATTATGCTGTCATAATTTTTATAAAATATGGAAATATATGCAAATGCATAAAGTAGTAAAACAAAACCCATACAATTCTATTTTATTTTAATTTTACTAGGTATTATATTGATTATTAATAGAACAATTAATTTAAATAATACTAATAATTAGGTATGTATAATAATTTAAATTATATTATTAAAATATTTGAATTAATTCATAATATTATATGTATACGCGTTAATAACCCTTATATTATTTTCATTTAAAATACTTACCAAATAGGTTTTATACTGGTATGCCCCTTTCATTTCATAATGGCAAAGAACCTGAAAATGTAAAAACACATGTAAAAAATACTTTAGATACATTAGAAATGAAATTATAAATGGTGGTGCAACAGTAGTCTAAAAAAATTAGAGTGTGATTCCTGATCTATTTTTAAGATTTTTTTATATGAACATGTGGTCTAAAGTACCTATTTGCCTCCTAGAGTGGTGTTAAAATTTAAAAAAATCGAATTTTTTACATTATGTCGGAAATACTTTAGATATTTCATTCAATATTGGTGTGTGGTGTCTAACAGTTTTTCCATTAACTGTTGTTTTTCTATTTGGACCAGTAGCGTCCGTACACACACACCCCCGGATTTTTTCATTAAAATTAATTGTACGCCACTGATTTTTTGAGAAAAGATCTTGATTGTCCGTCCTTTTGAAAAGATTGATTTCTTGAGTAGCGAAAAAAGGACGAAAAACAAAGGACGAAAAAAAAATCAAGAGATGAAAATTGTTTAGAAAAGAATGAAGATTTTTTTGAAAATTTTACCACCCTGTATGTCAAAAGTTAAAATGTTTAGGACATACATTCATATGAAGTTTTTTTCTTAGAATAGGTCCAAGAATCGCCCTACACTGCTTCGAACATATGGCTCTAGAGGACAAAAATCCAAAACTTCTCTTTTATTTTAAGCAATTTATTCAAACTAGGGGTATTTGACACAAATGATGAGTACTCTCATTGTACTAAATGATAATGTTCTTAGTCCCACGTTTATGAAAAAAAAATCTTATAAATAATAATAATGTTGGAGCTGTGTTCCATCTAAGCAAATAATAAGTTATAGTATGAAAACGGTGTAAGTATTAAATAAATACCTGTGATAAAAAAGAATTGAAATAACATTAGAACATGATTCCTACAATATAAGCCTAATATAAGATAAAAATGTTTTTCTTTAATGAAAAAGAAACATTAATGTTATATTTAATTAAAAAAAAACTTAAGATACTATAAATTTACTTTAGGACAACAAAATGCATAGATCGTAACTACTCTGATTCAGGAGGATCAATGCTGACAGAATCTTCCAAATTTATAGTATCCAAATCACAGGTAGATGAAGTATCCTCACATATAAGATATTTCTGTACATCATTTTCTAATATGTTACTTTTTCGCGTTGTTACTGTTCATTTTGTCGGTATGAGGGGTTCGGATGTTAATAGTTACCTCTTTAATAGACCATATTCATATATTATTTTTCCTTTTCTTGGGCATGAGATTTTATAATAAACTGAAAGATGGACACTTTTTTATGCGACGTTTCGCTCCAACATAGTGGACTTTTTTCAGGCACAAGTGGTGTCTCATTTGACTGGAAGGTTCATCAATATCTAATAAGAACATATTTTTGAAATACAAATAATTTTGAGTTCTTGTCCTTATGATCAAGCCAAGTATTAGCCAGATCGGCATTGCTTATCAATTTTACTCCATCTGAAAAGTATTATAAAATAAAGTTCGTCGCAAGCAGACGCAGGTGAACTATACAAAAATTAAAAGTGTATGAATATGGCAACAAAAATATTCAATAAATACGATATGTTTTGATATGTTTTTTTAAATGCCTTTTTGAAGTTTGAAAACGTAAAATTTTTATACCCATTTAAGAATCATCTTAAAAAATAAATAAAAGCTAAACAATCACGAACTTGTTTAGAAATAAATTTAAAGTACATACCTTAATATCCATAGTGGCTTTCAATTAAGTACGTACTCGTTTAACTCCATAATATACAGAACTACTATGAATGTTATTCTTTTCACTGATGAGATAATGATCGCAAAATTTATTTTTAGTGAAAATATTTGCTAACAAAAACGCTGTTTATGAAAAATAATATACAGGATGGTTGAACATTGCTATAAGTATAAAATTATATATTCAGATATTAGTAAATTTTAACTTATTTTTTGATTTTTGTCCATGGGACGAAGCACTGTGCGCCCCCTTAAATATTAGCATGTCATTAAGCAACACCCTGTATAATAATATTAAATCAAGTAAAAACAAGGTAAAAACCCGCCATGATATTCATGTCATAAGCTTCTAGCGGTTTTGAGATATGTAATGTACTTGAAAGTATAAGAAAATCTCAAGAGATCAATTTTACTCAAAAAAAATATTGACAATCAAAAAAGAAATTTTTCGAAAAAAAGCAGTGGCGTAGAATTCACTTCAAGCAAAAAATTTCATTTTTTAATTTTTAACACCCTGTAGATCAGGAAGGAAGTACTTTAGACCCCTTGTTCGTATAAACTTTTTGTCCTAAAAACGAATATCAGGAATCACACCCCAACATTTTTTAGACTATAGCAAAGGTAATTAAATGTAGGATAACGTAGCATATTCTGGTATATAAATACAATATAATCCAGAAAAAAAAAGCGTCAGTGATTCCGAGATACCCATAGAGAACATCGTAGGAAACTCACCCTGTATAGTATTTTAAAACTAACTATTATTATTATTTGACTAGTTTAATTTGATTAATAAGGCTAGATTAATTTAATTTCAAATAAATTTGATCATATTTTTTTTCGTATATTCTGCTACCAGAAAACCAAGATTATATGATAACGCACTTTTCAACGAAGTTGAAGGAAGATATAGTGTATCTATCACAATACTTAATAGAACTACTACAATTATTACAAGAAAAACAAAAAGAAGAAATACCCAAATACCCCTTCACCTAGGTACTACTCAACTACAAAATAAACGAATATAATCTCTTAAAAACACTACACAACTACTTATTCGTGTAGTACACTGAACAAATTATCAAACTTACTAATTTATCAAACAAAAAGAAAAAATAACAAAATTATCCCTTCACCTACTACTGAACACAAAATAAACTATTAAAACATTACTAAACTGTACCAAACATGCTACACTAAACACTATAATTAAACTTAATAAATTAATCTAATTTTACACTACAACTACAAAGAAAAAAGAAATAAGAACATTTTTTAAAACTAGAAGACACAGAACTTCCATACGTGCAACCAGGATAATAGGTCAAGGGGACAAAGAATATAAAATACTTCAAAATGTGCATTCAGAAAGAAAAAATACCTCGAAAATTATCTAAACAAACATTTTTATTTCTTATCAGTGAGAAGCATCGGCATTGTCGGCCTTGAAGAATTTGTCGGGTATTTACAATGGTCGAATTGTATAATTGCCAGCTTTTATAGCATATCTAATAGACAAAAAGTATCTGGTCGATTAGTAACCAATTGGCACAGTCCGAAAATTATCGATTTTTATTTTCTGTTTTTATTGGTAGCTTCAAAATTCAGAGTAACAAAAAATATTTTTCTGTAGGGAAACCGGTCCTGCCATCTAGTAGTCTTAGTCCATAAACGTCTTAGGTTGATCTACAGGGTAGTACTTAAGTATACAGAAACAAAAAATTGTGTTTAGTGTATTAATTCTGTAAATTGTAAATAATGGTATTGTGAATGCTTATATAGGTCAAACATACAGTACATGGTATTATTTATGTATGGTTAGATATGAATATTTACTCATTATATACTACATATAAATTTTATTTTATAAAAGTGACTAACAAATTTTTACACCTCACTAAACATTCAGATAACTAATTATAGCAGATATTTTGAAATTGTCCTAAAAGTAATGTTACAACAAATTTATTTAGGAAATAGTTCATTTATACTATAAAAAAATAGACTGATAAATAAATGATTGAATTTTCAAAATAAAAATAAAGATATTAATTGATATGAATTTGATATAATTATTATTAAATTTAAAATTATTTTAGTAATATACCACTATAAAGATAAAGTAAGTTACTAATATTTATGGGATTGATGTATGTTGCTAGAAAAACACATAACACCTAGATTTAAATAATTTTTATTTTTAGACATAATATAGTTACATATATCACACAATGACATGTAAGAGAAAATACTTGACATTAAAAACACAACTAGAAACAAATTTGCATCCTCACAAAATATCACAGTCTTATTAAAGAAAAAGGGGGGAAAAGCAATCTCTTCAAAAACTTATGTGTGAATATCAAAATCGGCAAAGTCATTACTCAACCACCCAATGCAGATGCAATAGTGTTGAAAAAGCTGCACTAGTAACTCTTGCTCATCAAGAAATTCAAGTTTCTCTATGCGATTTCTCTCTGTCGGATCTAATGAATGGTATACTTCGACCATATCCCAAGCTTTCGATCCTATCCAACCGTTATTGAGAAATCTCCCTCTCTGGGTCTCAAGGTTTTTACAGTGTGCAATACCAGCTAAATTACAGCCTCTCGCTCTTAAGTTTCCCATCATTATATCGCCGAATGTGTCATTCATGTTGCACATTTCGTAGTTTATAAATAAACCTGTAGAAAATGTGCTTGATAACCACTGCAACAGGCGGTTTACACATTCACTCTCAATGTACACTAGAACACACTCAGAAATAAACAACGTGGGTTTATCATATTTAATTTCTGCTTGATGTAGTTTGTCTTTCAATACTGAAATGTTCCTTAAATCTACTCCAAGACAGTGATAATTTCCCGAATGCATATCTGTAGAGCTAAATCTCACTTCGCCATCTTGTTCGTATATTCTGTCCAGCAAAGGCTTGTTTCTTTTGATCATGTAACACTTTTTTGATGTAACTGTGGGAAAGTCTAATTCTACGTAACACGAAATAACTACACCTTCGTCTTTTAAACGCCAGTATAACGTGTCGAAACCCGCTCCAAAATTTATGATTTGTGCATTACTGCCGGCTTTGCCGATAAATCTTTGGATAAAGTTGTCGACACCTTTCACACGAGCAAAGTAGCCTCTGTTTATTTCTGGGGCACGCCTGTCGATGTTCCTTACAAAATACGAGATGTAATTATCGGTCCAATAGCCTAATTGCACGGCACCTCTCTTACATTCGCTAGCATCGTCGTTAGTTGCCATAACTGGTTCATCGCCCATCGTTTTCCTAAAAGAACAATACAAAAAAGTTGGGTTATATTTATATCACCTGTATTTTAACAGGTTGCAAAGCTATATGTACTTTAGAAAAATACTTACAATGTTAATTTGGACGAGTTTTAATTGAATCGAATACTTATTGGAATATCTGTGTACTTCTTTAGTAAAAAAATCAAGGATTTCTTCGGATTAAAGACAAAATTGGTCATCAAACGTCTTTTTCCAATTTCTAAATAAACATCGTTGCCATATTGCTCGTAATTCCTTACGAGATTATTTGAATTATATTAAAAAGGTAGCCATAAATTCTTTTATCAATATATTTTAATCAACGTATCTAAAATTTGTGAAAAAAACGTCGAGTTCAGTAATAATTGACCAGCTTAATACACAACGAAATATAAATGAGTTCGAATCGGTCGAGAGCTGTGCAACCCGGCATCGTCGCACGGTGAAATGATCATTCGCCAGCTAGACGCCCGAAGGTTAGGCAACACACTGAGCAGGCGCGATAAATGTGGGTTATCGCGTTTCGATTTTAATGCACCTACGCGGCGCGCCAAAGATTTTCTTTGGATTGCGGCCCGATTTTAAATAAATTCAAATTTGTTCAGAGAGCGTGTCTCTACGTTGACGTTAGAGCATTACCTAAAGCCTCTTACGATATGCATTTTGCGGCCCGTAAATTAATCTGTTATCGCCTATTGTTTCCGCTTGCATAGCATAGGCGCGAGCGCAAATTTCAAAATAACCGTAAACACAAAATAAAACAGGACTAGTTTACGTTAAAATTCGGATATTAAAATACAAACTAGATAAAACTTTTTATTAGAACGAGTTATATAGTAAACAGGAAAATATAAATAATGTGGATGTATAGAAAAATGATCGCTTTCTTTTGTGTAAAAATAACTCGGAAATCGATAAAATAATTTCGCACGTGCGATTTTGATGTATCGATCTGTATATAGCGGACATTAAATCAAAGTATTCTATTAATAATACCTATAAAACAAAGCAAAAACTGTGTTAATAAAATTCATAGGGTTAGTAATAAGCACAATAAGAATTGTTTTAGTTCACATCTACTGTTAACAGTTTTTTACTTATATTTATTAAAAAAGTTAGACTCTTGTTGAGTAAAATATTACAGAAAATTTTCCTAGAAATTTAATTTGCCCAAAATCATGCGTAGCAAGTACAGAATGATTATAAACTAAATCAAAATGCATTTATTAATTACCATTCATAAATTCATATTTCTTTGTCTAATTTATATCCAATGATATTTACATCTTATATATTTTTGAACGTAGATATTCGTATAAATTTTGCGAATACGAATGCTAATGTGAATGTTCATTACAGCTACACTAATGTGTATTTGAATGTTCACTACATATACACTAATATATACAGGGTGTCCCATTTGCGTGTGTTTTGCGGAATTTCTCGTTTATGAGTAGAGCTACAAAGTTGCGGTTTTCATATCAATATGCAACTTTTTTATGAAAATGTGTGTAGCGTCTATAATTTCATAAAAAAGTAGCATAGTGATGTGAAAACGGTATCTTTGTATCTCGACTCAAAAACGGGAAACCCCATAAAACACACGAAAATGGGATACCCTGTAGAGGGTGGCGCCTCTCATACGACGTAGAGGCTCCAAAGACAACGACAGTTTGTATTGAAATGAAATTTTATGAGCATATGTAAGTTTCTAATTTTTAAAAATGAAGAACAATTTTTTTAAATTAATTTTAAAATTAAATTAAATTTTGTTAAATTAACAAAAGGCACAGCCACCTCGATTTTATCAAATAATAAAGATCTACTGATGCACTTATAAAAATGAAAATATAAAAAAATATATATGAATTCTCCAGTGAATACCGATATAATATACTGGGTGTTCCATTTACAATAAAAGGGTCACTTAGCTTTTAAAAGTGGGCAATGTTCTGTATTAATTTTCTTTCACCCTGTATAACTTTTCGGGTCAAATTTAATTTAACATACAATGGTTAATGTAATTAAATATCAGGCTATACAGGGTAAATTATAATTTAGGTAGCTGTTATTGAAATTTAAAATGTATTCTTCATTTTCACAAAATGTAAAATATGTCAAAATCCTTAAATTTTAGGCATAGGCTTCTTTAATAAAACTCAACATTATTTTTTTTCTAGAACCCGAAGTCAATTAATATATAGGGCGTTCCATTACAATAAACACAACTTTGATGCGAACCTTTTTGGGGTAGACCCTGTAGAACTCTGTATATTTTTATAAAATGCTTTCAATTAACCTATATATTATGCTCCCAAAATTTCATTTCGATATAAAGTACCGTTCTTCTTGGAGCCACCGCGTCGTATGAAAGATGCCACCCTGTATATGTGACTGACACATATATGACTTGAGATAAAAATATTTTTAGATACACACAAAATATTCTATACAAATGGATTATAATGCAGATGAGTTATAATTTTCATTAAACACTACTATAAAGTAAAAGCATAATTAAACCAAAATTTATTCTAAAAGCGGAAGAAAATAATTATTGCTAAAGTGCGATAATAATAATTAACAGTATGTTTGAGGGAGATAAGGTAGAGAAGAGTGGGTTAATCAAGATCCATAATGTCTCAGGTTCTAAAAGGGGTTAACTGTTGTACTTCTACCAACGTATATTTATTAAAATCCATAGAGCCAGGAGTAAGGAAATCTCTTGGAACAGAGTTCGCTGTATTGTCAAAGTGTAGTAAGTCAATGTCTTTGTTATAATTATGTTAGCAAAATATACAGGGTGTCCCAGGCTGCATTAGAAGTTTATAGAGAACTACAAGATCTAGATCGGAGATTTTTTGCACATCATTGTGCACATCAAAGTTGTAGTAATTTCCGGCCAAACAGGAAGCGATCGAAAGTATTTGAATACGTCAATCACTCCCGATTTATGTCATATATTAACATACCAAATTTCATTTTATTATCTGAAAAAATAAAAAAGTTATATTAAATGTTTTTTTTCCATAGCAACTGTTAAAATTGCCTTATATCTATCAAAAATAGTAGATAAAATAGTACTTTAACCCGCAAGGGTAGACTAAATGATACTTTAACAGCGAGGATAGGTTAAAAACTTTATTTCTTCTCGCACGTTTTTTAATTGCTTCCATTTTTGAAAATTTTTGTATTCCTTTTCATAAGTTATTCGGGATTTAAATGGAAGTAGTTTGGATATGGCGTTTGTCGCCTCAGCCTAAATATCTGTTGGTAATTTACTTATTTCGTTTTAAGCCATTTCTGGCTCCAATTCAATCAGCAATCGACACGAAAGAGAATTAAAAAATATTGACTCAAAACTGACAACTAAAGAGACAGCTTTATTTATTTGTCAAATTACATAGAAACCAACGCCAACCCAGCATAATATTTTTTCTACTCGTAATAAATTCCTTGAAATAATAATTTCTGAATATTTTTTAAAACGTAACTCGCTATGGAAAAAAATATTGTTTTATACACCACAATAAAATTGCATTATCGTAATAAAAAAAAACCATTTTATCGTTTTGTATAAAAAATAACTATTACCGGTTACCGTTAAAGATATTACCCGGTAGAAAGGTTATTTTTTTTTGGTTTTTGAAAATACAAACAATTTTCAGTCCACTTGTACTAGAATCTTCCAGCTATTCCCCCTAATTATACTGATTTATACATCAAAGCTATGCCAATTTGTAATAGATTAAACTCAATCGGTAACTAGTTCAAATATTACTCCTGTGTTTACATGACATAATATTAAATCCTCCTATATCCTTGTTCCAAATTAACTAGCACCTACTCCTGTTGAATAACATATTACCTACTCAATAATCAATCTCAATGCAGTTCTGTTGAGAATACAAATACTACAAACCATATTAACAAAAGAGCGTATCTCAAATTTGGTTAAAATTATTGAGGTAGGTTCTTTATTCAGAGTATATACAGAATGTAAAAGAAACAAGTGTAAGAAACTATTTGGTTTTATGATCAATTCAAATTACAGTTATCTCTTTTTTTAAACAATAGTTTATACCAGAATGAGAATCGCGCCTTAAGGGATGTGATGTAAATTAGTGACTTGATTGAAAAATAGAATTGTACAGAATGGGTCAAATTGGACGCTTTTAAAGGGAAACACCCTTTTCTACAGGAGATACGACACGAAAACTAATATCGGTGTCTGGAGCTCAATTTTTATCAAAAACATGATGGTGAAAACCGCACGTCGATATCTGTACCGTTTATGAGTTACAGGGTGTTTTTCAAAAATGTGCATTTTTAACAAATCGCTGTAACTTTTTTACTATGGAAAATTTCGTATTTTCATGAAAACATTTCCAAAGCACCTTTTTACGTAGAATTAACTATAATTTTTTTAAAATTAATAATTTAAGAATTATGAACAGAAAATTTGATTTTTTATATGAGACACCCTGTATATCTTTAATTCATTGAAAAGAATTTAAAATTACCTTTCCAAAAATATAACATACTTGATATTTTGCTCGATTCCTCTTCGAGATATAGAATTTTTAAAAATTCGTCCACTTTGAATAAGTAGGCTTTGAACCGCGCCGCGCCGGATGTAATGCAGAAAAATCAATAAAAAATAAACAATAAAAATTAATAGCAAACCAAGACATGAGATTTTGCTAGAGGTGTACTATTATGGACAGACGGGACCGTTTTTGAACATTTCTCGCGGAATTCAATAAGTCATTAATCCAATGGGGGTGAAAGATACCCTCGTATAACCGCTAAGTAGTTCTAATTATTGTCCAAATTATACAGGCTATTTAAAAATAAGAACCTTTATTCTTTCGCAAAAATAAACATTCATTATAAGCACTATATCCGGCGGCTTCGACGGCCAACGGCTGGGATCTTGGTTAGCTAATCAATTATTCTGTAAATTGGCTGCAAAAATTAGCTGATAACTTCAGCGTTCTAAGGCGGTGCCTCGTCTTGCTGGAAAAATATGTTCTCGAGTACTATTAGGGGCAGATCATCAATAAGGGGTCCAAAGCCTACTAGTTAAAAGTGCCGAACTTATAAAAATTCTGTATTTCGAAAGGGACTATAACAAAATGTCAAGTGTACTATATTTTTGGAAAGATAATTTTAAGTTTTTTTCACTTAATTAAAAATACACAGGGTGTCCCAAATAAAAAATCAATATTTTCTGTTTATTCAACTGTTAAATTATTAATTTAAAAAAAAATGTACTTAAAACCATTAAATTCTATGTAAAAAGGTGCTTTGGAAATGTGTTCATAAAAATAGAAAATTTTCCATAGCAAAAAAGTTACAGCGATTTGTTAAAAATGCACATTTTTGAAAAACACCCCGTAACTCCGAAATGGTAACAGATATGGATGTGCGGTTTCCACCATCATGTTTTTGATAAAAATTGAGCTCCAGACACCGATATTAGTTTTCGTCTATCTCCTATTGAAAAGGGTGTTTCCCCAGCGTCGAATTTGACCCGCCCTGTACAGTACTATTTGAATTTGGTGTAAAAAAT